CACATAACAATTGAGTGAAGTGTAATTACCCAACTATTGCACTAGAGTTGGGTAAAGAGTCATCTCTCAACCATTGCACTAGGGCTGGGAGAAAATTTCAATACCTTACAACAGCTGCAACATGAAGCCACCAAACACCTATCGACACTATATTGTCGTGGTCACTATGGCTATTGTGGCTCTATCGCCATCTTATGTGACGCCCCATCAATGTCATCTTATTTGTCATCATCATGATAACAGTATGTTTCACCCACATCAAAGTGTTGTCATCTTGATGTTATCATCATAATCGTTGACACCCGACTGTCATTGACGCCATAATCAATGCCAAAATAAATGCATGCTTATTCTATGGCAAGATTAGTACATCTGCTCAAGGCATGAACAAAATTTGTTCATTATCTCCATTCATTAACAACATTGTTTCATTATCTCCATTCAAATGGACAAAGATTGATCTAATATTAGTTCAACGAGCTATGATTGGTTCGTTTCATGAACCAACATTGGCTCAGAGATTGTACAATAGATCGTTATCGGCTCGAATCCACCCTTCAAATTGAACGAGCCAAAACTGGTTTGATGTTTTTATAAACATATCTCGAGATCCAAGATTGGTTTAGTCTATAATAGCTCCGAACTCTTGAAGTATGATTGGCACATAATTTTTTATCCTTTGAAATACAAGAATCACAATTGGTTCGTATCTTGCCAAGGATTTCCGAGAGCCCAATAAAAAATATGATTGTCGCCGCAAAATCTCCTTCGTTCGATGTTTACGACGACAAGGGGGGGAAACTGATGGACCCAATAAAAAATCTAATTTGACGAAAGTGTTCCCATATAGTCCATAATCAGTTAGCTCGGGGTCACTCCGGGTCACCACGGCCACTCCAGGTTCATTCCGGCCTCCCAGGGTCAATCACCCTGGGTCACCTTAGGGTCACTCCGGCCTCCTCATGGGGGGATCACCCTGGGTCACGAATCCCACCTCGGGGTCACTCCACCACGGGGTCCACCACCTCGGGTCACTCCGGTTTCCTTGGGATCAATCACCTCGGGTCACCTGGGTCAATCCGGCCAGACACGATCAATCACCCTAGATTACCTTGGGGTCACTCCGGTCACCCCGTGGTCAATTACCTCGGGTCAATTAGCCCACCCCAAGGTCACTTTGGCCACCCGGGGTCAACCACCCTAGGTTACCTTGGGGTCACTCCGGCCAGCCCGGGGTCAATTACCTCGGGTCATCTACCCCACCCTGGGTCAATCACCCTAGGTCACCTTGGGGTCACTCCGGCCACCCCGTGGTCTCACTAGCCTGTCGGGATCAATCATCCCGGGTCATCTTGGGGTTACTCCTGCCACCTCGGGGTTAATTAGCTCGGTTCACCTAGCCCACCCCAAGGTCACTTTGGTCACCCGAGGTCAATCACCCTGGGTCACCTTGGGGTCACTCCGTCCACCCCCGAGGTCTCTCTGGACCATCGGGGTCAATCACCCCACGTCACCTTGGGGTTACTCCTGTCACCCCGGGTCAATCACCCTAGGTGACCTTGGGGTCACTCCGGCCACCCCGGAGCCAATTAACTCGGGTCACCTGGCCCACCCTGGGGTCACTCTGGCCACCCGAGTTCAATCACAAATTCACCTTGGGGTCACTCCGGCCACCCCGAGGTCAATTACCTTGGGTCACCTAGCCCACCCCGGGGTCACTCCGGCCACCCGATGTCAATCACTCTGGGTCACCTTGGGGTCATCTTGGGGTCACTCCGGCCACCCCTGGATCAATTACGTTGGGTCACCTCGGTCACCCCATGGTCAACCACCCCGATTCACCTTAACCACCTTGGGCTCTCTGCCCACCCCAAGTCACCTACAACCTTTAGCCATGTACCCTTGCAGCGTGTCCTCTCTCCACACCACCAAGCTCCTAAGGGAGACACATACTCCCTTCATTTGTCGTCTGGAGGCCTCTATATAAGGCCACTTCGTCTCTAGATTGAGGTAAGCAAAAATCCCCATGCATAGACTCGTGAACTCTTGCTATGATTAGCGCAGATATCACTCTCAACTCCGTTCCCTCAACTCATCCACTGACTTGAGTGTCAGAGAGTGTCCGCGCCGAGGTCGGCTGACAGACCTTTTTTGCAAGATACGACTAGAGTTGACATCACAAGTGAAGTTCGAGGTGAAAGATGGTCGTCGACCGACTCTGGTGCCCAACATAAAAAAAAATTCAACGTCGGCTACAACCCCGACATCAACAGCAACCTTGATTGACTACCATTGAATCCACCAAGAGGGATTGACAATGGTGTGGCCTTAATTTGGCAGAAGAGAAACCACACAAGGGTCCTTCTCCAAGAGTGTATAAAGGTCAGGTGAAAGCTTTGGTAGTACATGTAACTTGTGGATATTTCATTCACTTCGACCTTGTCCATTAATTGGACTCCATTTGCATCTTCAACATCCTCTCTTTCTTGTGAAGAATCTTGTGTTGAGTACCAAGCTCTTCTCTTTCTTCACTTTATTTTTCTTTCCTCATAACCTCATCAATGCTCCCTTTTTATCCATTGCTTTTTGTTGATTGGGAACATTTATGGTCCTCTAAGCAAATTTATCAATAGATGGATTGTCAAGGTCCACTTGATTGTCCACCTTCGAGATTCCTTCCTCTTCTACCACTTCCTCTCTCTCTCTATAGATGATGTCAAATAGGCGATCTTGCTTGAGTCTCGAACAAAGTTGTTCGATATCTCTCTTCTTCTCTTCCACCCTCTTGAGCAACTCTTCATGTTCAACGAGGATTTCTTGAGTAGAAGAGTAGGGACTCCTATGATGGAAGGTGTCCCTTTGGTCTCCACCTCTTTGAGCCACCATTCCTCTCTTTTGATTTCTTTGGGATCACTAGCATCTAGGAACTCCATTGGGATGTTTAGTGCTCGGGTGGCAACTCTTTAAGGCTGTTGGGCATCAGTAGAGGTGGAGGGTGAGTGCCCTCTCACTCCCGACCATGAATCTATCAAATTCGAGCTTCAAGAGGCTCTTTGGTTCCGGGATTAGAGTTGGACAAGTTGTCTCGATGCCCTCCACTTGCTTCATACTCGCCTCAACTCACTCAAGGGTCATCTCAAACTTGGTCTTTATCCTGGATTGTTGAGGTGGTTCATGAAATGATGGTGGTGGAGCTCAGTAACCATGAGAGTACGGTTGGTGAGGATGGAGAGGTGGTTGTTGAAACCGATATCCTTGTCCTTCATCTCTCCTTGAAGTCCCGAGGTAACAATTTGTTCAGGAGTAACCATTAGGCATCTAACCCTCTTCTTCTGCGATTCGTGATTCTTTTCCCCTCTTTTTCAGGAATAACAATTTGTTCAGCCACAACACTATCCTCAACAATGAAGGTGTCTTTCACATTTGAGCCTTCTAAAACTACAAACCTATTTAAAATAGATAAATAATGGAGATTAAGATCAAACGATTAATTAGCATAAGTCAAATAAAAATAGAAATAAAACTACCGTCAGGTGCTACCTGTTCCCGCCGAGGCTACAACAGGGGAACCTCTCTACCTTTATCAAAGCTTCTGCCCAGCTCGACTCCTCTTCTGGCCACACGGCGTCTCCTGTTTGCATTTTATTTATTTAGGAAATTGGCTAAACTTAGATGTTATTAGAGCTTCGACGAAGTTGGAGGGATCAACCGACACTCTCGATCAATACACAGTCTTTCCTTTCTTCAACCTCTTAAGTCTTATGTTTCTATTCTTGCATCACAAACGAGGTCTCCAACATAGTCTTGTGTACAGCTTGTAATCAACGAAATTGACGTCTGAGTATCGCCCTAGACCCAATCAGCACTAACAAAAATCTGTTGACCCCTTCGATGTTCATTTATCGAACTGAAGCCTTCCCCTACATATTAAACTACACGAACAGTTGTCTCAATTGTCGGACCCGTGGTCGTCAAACTGAGATCGTGGCCGCCGCCGGGCCAATTGATCTTATGTTTTGGTGAGAGCGGCATTGTTTGTTGTGATGGGTAGAAATCAGAATTTGCGGGGTGAGTTACTGTTAGGTCCCCAATTGCAATTATCAATAACTATAAATTCTTTTAATAAACATTGTATACTTTATTTGTTAATAATTAATTAGAAATATATTAATTATTCTCAAATGTTAGATATATTTAAGGGTCAAGATTAAACCATATATTTAAGAGACAGTCAAGACTCAAGAGTAAAGTAGATGCACCGAAATACCTGCCACACATATATATACTCATCATATAAAAAATGAATATTCGTACATGAATTCTATAATAAAACTTTACACTCTATGTACGGTAAATATCTCAATAAGAAAATGTTGTACAAGAAAAATTTTGTACATGAAAATTTTGTACAATAAATATCTATACACGTGTATATTTTACAAAATTTGTACAAAGGTACATACATGATTGCTTTTGCTAAAATATATATATAACAATGGATGTCACATTGTAGAGCAAAATAAATATGATTTTTCTGTGCAAATTTTTTTTAATTCAGATTAAAATGGAAGAGATATGATTTATTGAAAATTAATATACAAAAAGTAAATCTGACGAAAAATAAAATAAAAAAAAAGTAACCCAAAAAATCGATTGTGAGATAGTTTTATTTATTTGAAAGCTATCCTGTTCCTCATATGTTCCTATTCATTATATATATTTTTCTTTTAACTTCCCTTCCCATTCCCATCTAACAAATACAATTAATTTTAGCATATGCTAAAACTAACTCATTTAGCACTTTATCCCAATTCAGCATTTCAGCTATACTAAGCTTGCTAGCCAACATTAACAATTCTACAAGCCCAATTAGTTTCGGGCCCAGCGGAATAACTGTTGTTGGACCAACCGCCAACGAATTCGAGTATTCGACGATTTAATGTTTAATTAATTTTTGGCTATCTGAAATCTGAATTTTGTTTTCACTAAATTCCTTTTTCCGGTCGGTCCTTTTCCCCCGTCTGTCAGCCAATTTTTTCTCCCCTTCCGTCCGTCGCAGTTTTTCCTCCGCTTCTCCCCCAATTTCCGCCCCGGCGGCCTAATCCTCCGCCGTGGAAACAAGCGTGTTAATACCATTCCATCCTAAAAATCGCCGATCACGCCACTTTACTTCAGTTTCTCCCAATTGCGAAGGGAGAAAAAAAAATGATTCCAGATCTCTGCTGCCCCGCCCCGAATCTGATTCCGCGTACCTATTGTAACTAGTTCATCGGATTTCTTCCCGTTTTCCCTTCATCTCGAGATTTTAATCAATGGCGACAAGGAACAGGACGTTGATATTCAGGAAGTACAGGGACGCATTGAAGAGCGTCAGGATCCCAACGAGCTCCTCTTCTTCATCGCAGCAGCCCTTGTCGTCTGCTTCGACGAGCTCCTCCACCAGAGACGGTCGCGGCGGTGGTCCGGTGATTGAGTTGGTCAGCACTTCGCTCCTCAATCCTAACCGCTCTTACGCTCCTCTCAGTACGGAAGATCCCGGTAATTCCAGGTAAATTTCTTTCTCCATTTTTTTGGCTAACGTGTTGAGAAATTTCACCTTTCCCTATCTCGTGCGAATGGCTTGAGTTTGTTCCATTTTTCTGATCTTATAGTGAGAACCATTTGTATTGTTAGTCTCTTTGTTTAAGTAAATTGAGAATCTTAGTTGGGAATATGGTTTGTTGTGGGATCATGGGTTGAAAGAGCTTTAACTTGAGTGCTTGAGGTGTAGAATTGTGTTTGTTGGTGAAATGTTTGTTGTAAGCTTTGAGCAACTGGCTTGGGAATGACATCTTTTTAAAGTCAGGAAGACTGTAGTTTTAACTGATTTCGATCCGACGCAAGGTATTTGATTGATTCCACTCCGGGCTGCTGATTGATTCTACCATGCTGTCTAGTGTCAGCATAAAAGTGATGGAGTGGGGTTAAAAAGATGATCATCTTTCTCACAGATTCATCTGCAACTTCCCTGTTTCTAGTGACCGATCTCCTTTTGATAGAGTTGTTAAGGAGATGAGTCATTCAGATGGTATTCGCATCTATAGTGAAAGCCGTTTTTGTTGGCATTTTCTGTTCAGTGTGAATTCTGAAGCTTATATTTGGATCATGGATTTAAAGGTTCTTGCTTTGGGGCTTGATAGGTGGAATATGGTTTGCTAGCGAATAATAGTTCTAAGGTTTGAGCAATTGCCTTGGGAATAAGTTCGTAAAATCAGGGTGAATTTCGGTTTAGCAGAGTTTTGATTGAAATGGAGCTGGAATGTGTTAGGGAAGACGTGGAATAAAAGGAGATTTTGATTGGTTCCATTTTGTACTGTTGATGAGGCAAGTAAAATAGGATAGTATATTGGTCTCTGCCTCTCTGGTGTCATCATATGCAGATTTAAGTGGTGGGAAATAATGATTTTCATTTTGTTGACAGTTTCATCACCAATTTCTGTTAATATTGAGACTGATGTCTTTAAATAATTCATTAGGGAGATGTTCAGATGGTAATAGGCATCTTTGGTGGCTGAAAATAATTCAGACGTTTGCATTTCAAATTTGACTAATTATGTGATAGAAACATAGTTTCTATCGGTTTTGCGGATTGGATCGGCATTTGGGATTTTAGGGATTGTAGAAGAGAATTGGGGAATTAGGGATTAGAAGATAGAAATAGGGATTGAGATTGGGAATTTGGGGAAGAAGAAGAGTAGAAGATAGAATCGGCCGAAGCCTTAGAGGGCTAGAGAACGAGAAATTAGGAGATAGAGGATTAGGGTTTTGGAGAGATACTTTCTGAATAATTGTTCTTGCTTGATTGATAATGAAACCCAGATTACATATTTATAGGAAAGATAGGAAAACCTAATAATAAACCTAATTCTATTAAAAGACTACTATCCTTATTTGAAAATATCCTAATAATAATAATAATTATGATAATTATGATAGTATCACGAAAACGTGTTTCTATCATTATGCTGTAGACAGGCTTGAAGGTTGAACGTTGTTTTATTCTTGCAGTAAAGGTGCACTAACAGTTGGTCTACCACCTGCTTGGGTTGACATATCGGAAGACATAGCAGCAAATGTGCAACGTGCTCGGACGAAAATGGCTGAGTTAGCCAAGGCTCATGCCAAAGCATTAATGCCTTCATTTGGAGATGGTAAAGAAGACCAACGTACAATTGAGGGTTTAACCCACGAGATAACCGGTCTTATAAAGAAATCAGAGAAGAAGCTGCAGAGACTTTCTGCTGGGGGTCCAACAGAAGATTCAAATATCAGGAAAAATGTTCAGGTATAACCTAGTTGTATGTACTTTTGGGTCCTTTGGGACCCGTTACTTAAAGTCTTCTCTCCAATTTCCTTTTGACTCACTTCCAGGGAGGCACATTTGCCTTTGCTTAGTGAAAAGGAATATTAACTTGCGTCATATTAATTTGACTGGATCCCGAGCTTCTAATGTATTTTTTACTGGTTAGCAGAAGTTCTTGTGCTGATGTTAGTATGTTTTCATCTCAGCGTTCTCTAGCCACAGACCTTCAGAATCTTTCTATGGAACTTCGTAAGAAGCAATCAACCTACTTGAAGCGCCTCAGGCAGCAAAAAGAGGTTCGTAATAACTTGTTCTAAAAATCAAATGAGAGGCTAGGAGTCCACTTCAGGAAAACTTCTATTCCAACCTTTTCTTCCGAACTTTAGCTTTAGGTATCTAGTTATTGATACTTGATAGCCTTTGATTCCAGCATGGGCTCATTTCATCTGTTTTTTTGTCTTGCAACTCAGGGTCAAGATGGGGTTGACTTGGAGATGAACCTTAATGGTAATAGATCCAGAATTGATGATGAGGATGGTTTAGATGACATGGTATATCCTATTTCAAACCCCATTTTTACTTCTGCTGTTTCTTCTTTTAGGTCCTTTTGCACCATTTCCTTCATATTTTGAGAATGAGCTAGTAAGTTGTTTGTTATAATTTTATGCAGGCGTTTAGTGATCTTCAAATGGCCAGAGTGAAAAAGACCGAGGCATTTACTGCAGAAAGGGAGAGAGAGATTCAACAGGCGAGTGAGACACCTGTTGCTTTTAGATCTTGTAAATGTGGAGTTACTTCAATCTGTTCTCTTATCCATTGATATTTCTTAGGTTGTGGAGTCTGTAAACGAACTTGCTCAAATCATGAAGGACTTGTCAGTACTTGTGATAGACCAGGTGGGTAATCGATCAGATATCCTCGGCATCTTTGTTTCCAGTCCTCAGCAGCAAACTAACTAAACGTTTTGTGCCGAGCCAGGGTACTATTGTTGATAGAATAGACTACAACGTTCAGAATGTCGCAACTACAGTCGAGGAAGGGCTTAAACAGCTGCAGAAGGTACAGCTTCTCGCATTATAATTCATGTCGATACTTTAGTGTCAAAACTACCGTAAGGGTCATTTAGCTGTTGGATTTGGGTGGTGGATTGTTCCCCCAAATCCATCAACAGGTGAATTTGACCGAGTACTGTTTTAGATGGTCTCAATTTGTGGTGGATTGTGGCCCAGAGACATTTGCAAACTATAGTCATGGGTGGATTTTTGGGGTTTGCTTGGTGATATTGAAATCTCTCCACCAGTTGACAATTTTGTCAACAATTGACCTGTTAGTTTGCTTTGCCATCTTATGCAACATTGAATATGTTCGTTCTCTCCTGCAGGCTGAGAGATCACAGAAGCAAGGGGGAATGGTAATGTGTGCTACGGTGCTCGTAATTATGTGCTTCATCATGTTAGTCCTTTTGATCCTCAAAGAAATACTATTCTGAGCTGCGAGCTAACACCGAAAGAATGTCGTTTCATCACCCTGACCTGCTCTGCCGTTTTACCACAACGAACGCTATGAAGATGGATGGACACTTTGTTTTTGCCCAGCAGAAGAAGAGCTTCTTGGTAACCTCTGTATACATTATATATACATAATATACACATTTACGTGCTTCGGGGTTTTGTAGAATGTGGGCAAGAAAGAAGTAGGGATGGGATTAGGGTGTGGGATGAAAGTTGGCAGTGGCAAAAGTGAATGAATGTATAGAGCTAAAACCTCGTGTAGTTGCCTTTCTATTTTCCCAGGCAGAACCGTGACTTATTGCTTCCCCAATTTGCTTATTTTTCTTGTGGGGGAATCAATTCGATTTTTGTACCCGATATTATTTTTAGGGCTGGAAAACGGTGCGGTTTGGTCTAGACCAGATCATATATACGGTCCTGTCCAGACCGAAAGGCTGAAGTATAGACCACAGACCATACTCAACGAAAAATGAACAATTTGTTTAGTCAACCACACAAACAATTGAACCAATAATCAAGAAAAATAATTTTATTTGCCTTAAAACATTAATCCTAACATGCATGAATAAATTTGATACTCTAAATCTTAGTACATAACAAAGATATCAAGTAAAAGCATCCCAACTTGCGCCATATCGTTATAAACATTAACATAATGTCATATGGACACACGATTATCTTTACTCTATGGTTAAGTAGGGTTCTGAATGGAGGGACGAGATTCACAAAATTAAGGTTGAGATTTGGGTGTCGTTGTGGGAGTTGAGAGAGTGAGTGGTCGAATGGGCTGTTAACACGTATCGACAAGTCGATTGGGTCCACAGTTTGGTCCGGTAAACCGCGGTCTTGATCAGACCAGACCAAGAGATCAAAACATAAAATAATACAGACCATGGACCAAACCAGACCATACTTAACGGTCTACGGCGGACCAAACTGTGCGGTACGATTTGGACCACGATTTTTCTAATGGTCTGGTCTATTTTCCCAACTCTAATTATTTTTGTTATGTCTGTCTATTGAGATAGGGATATCCTTGTGGGCTGTGATACTTGAAGCACCAGCTTTGCTGGATTCAGAGTTCTCCTTGGGTTAATTTATTTAATTGGTCATTCAACTTCGTGTCATATTTGGTCGCTAAATTTTATTTTCTAACAAACTGGTCAGTAAAGTTTCAAATAGCATAACATAACAATTACTCGCCTGAAGTCTCCATTAAATCAAATTTCTAATAACATAACATAACAATTACTCGCCTGAAATATCCATTAAATCGAATTTCTGAATTGTCTAGAATGGTGTATCAACTCGATCAAACTAACAATGAAAACAAATAGGCTTTAATAAAGCCACCATGGACAATCCATTTAACTCACTATTTTGGTTGGAAAAATAACAATGCTAATCCTCCAAATACTATATAGACGTTCCGAGGCATAACATATGGAATTGCAAAATTGGAGCTTCCTGCACAACTCTAGGAAGGACTCCCTGGTCTTTTCAAATCATGTATTTTTTTGCCTGCAATTCTGCTTCAGCGCTTTCCTACTTCAGCACGTATGTGCTTGGCCTCAATTTATTCCTTGGCCTTCTCTCTATTCACCCATTACAAAAATAATCCAAAACTTCAAATAGTAGCGATCTTTAAGCAAGCAAAATTCAAATATTATTCTCCAATTCCCAAAACATGAGGGGCTATCATAAGAGGGGAAAATTCACAAAATATTGTTTTTTTTTTTTTACCACCAATATGGTGGTTTTAAATTTATTTACACAGATATTGTGTTTTTTGGGGAAAGAGATGTGGGCTTGCAGGGACTCAGTTTTAATATTGGATTTGTGCAGACCCGCATGGGACTGCTGCTAATTCGTATAAGTGGAAGGAACCCGCAGCGGACTCCTGCGGGTTCGCATAAAGAAGTATCTTCTTATCTTCTTCTCCACCCCTTCATCCGCAGCGCCTTTCTTTCTTCCTCCTCTCCCAGAAACCATCGCCCCCCCCCCCCCCCCCCCCCCCCCACTCCCATCGCCGCCACGCCCCGCTCCCCGACCGCCACAAACCCCTCATTTCCAAGGCGGGTTCGCACCGGACTAGCGTGGATTCGGTCGAGAGTCACGCGGAAGCGCACCAGAGTAGAGACGCCGAACAAAACCAGATCGGTTTCTCTGGTTTTGATGTCGGACTCCGACGAAGAACAGCCGGTCGCCGGAGGAAGAGGCCGTGGAAGAGGACAGCAAGCACGCGGGCAGTACCGAGGTGAGCATAGTCGCCGCCGGTCACCGGGGTACGAGACGACCACCTGCGACGATAGATACATCTCCGGTCGATTCAGTACTCCTTTGGGCACATGGTCAACATCGTGCCGACTCAATTTGGATTAATGAGGTAAGTATTTTATGTATTTTATTTCAGTAAAGTTCATTAGCTAATTAGATTAGAATTTTGTTAAATTAGTATTAGTTTGATTAGATATATTTTATTAAATTAGATTGATTTACTAGGTCAATTGAAATATTAAAATTGCATGTGAAATTATTGTTAGTTTTAGATTTTGTGATATTAGTATTAGTTTGATTAGATATGTTTTACTAAATTAGATTGATTTTACTAGGTAAATTGAAATATTATAATTGCATGTGAAGTTAGTATTAGTTTTCATTACATATATTTTTAGTAAATTAGATAGATTTTACAATATGTTCTGAAAATAGAATTATGCCATGAAATTGAATTAATATAAGTTTTGTGCACTATAGGCTGGTGATCGTGTTTACCAGACTCGCGGTACGACCAAATTGGTCACGTACCATCCACGTTATGAGCCGTATCTCCAGGATGCCAGTTTGTTTAGCATTCAGCAGTTGGTCCCTATGACTGATTGTATAGATGCATCTTTGATCACCGCTCTAGTAGAGCGTTGGCGTCCTGAGACATCGACCTTTCACATGCCGGTCGGTGAGGTTACGATCACTCTTGAGGACGTTGCCACACTGAGCGGTTTACCGATCGACGGTGAGGCCGTCATAGTAGACGTACCAGATCGTGAGTGGTCGGAGACGTGTACCAGACTGTTAGGACATGCTCCTAACGATCTTAGCGGGGGTGTCGTTAAGCTTAGTTGGCTTAGGGAGCATTTCAACAATCTGCCGCCAAATGCATCAGCAGAGATTACAGGGCAGTTTGCACGAGCGTATGCCCTATCTTTGATTGGGTTTATGTTGTTCCCCGATCGGACTGGAGCTACAGTTCACCTGCAGTATCTACTCCTATTGGAGAATTGGCGGACCGCAGGAGGCTACGCTTGGGGAGCAGCTGTTCTAGCCTACCTGTACCGTGAGATGGGTAGGTCGGTTCTGCATCTGACGCAGTCCTCTTCCACCGAAGTTGACCTTGGTGGTTGGGTCGCCTTGCTGCAGCTCTGGGCGTGGGAGCGATTCCCATTGATAGCACCCCGACATACAGTGACGGATGAGCCTATTACAGCGGACGCATCTCCATGTGGTGCTCGATGGCTTCCGGCCATGACCCGTCAGCATGGTGACCAGCTCTTCAGTTATAAGTTGTTTTTTGACGAGCTGGAGACGATCGTGGTTAGTAATAACATTTCAAAACCATAATAGTTTTTGGTTCACATTAGTTTGTTTTAGACTAAGTTGTAATAATGTACCCACCTTTATGTGTAGTGGCTGCCTTACTGGGAGAGAGACATGCAGTTTAGGGGTTCCGTTCCCCAGTCAGATACCTTCCGAGCTGTGGTTCCACTGATTTGCTTTTCAATAGTGATGTGGCACCGTCCAGATCGGGTACTCCGACAGTTTGGCATGATGCAGAACGAGCCTCATCACCCAGCTCCTGAGGCTGAGATTAGGTGGTTTCTTCGCCAGACAGCTCGTGGGCCATCGCGAGGGCAGCGATTGATGCACGCCAACAGAGAGTCGATTGATTTGTGGAGTCGTCGACATGAGTATATAGCGACTAGGCCATATACTCAAGAGACTCTAGCCTACCACTCGGAGCATCTCGAGTGGTATCGAGATGTTACTAGACGTGCAGTCACACGGAGAGCAGCAGGAATTAACGTAGCGGTTAGTAATTTATTATTTGAAAATAAAATTTTTAGTGAATTGAAATTCTTAGTTTGATATATTAAATAAATTTGCAGTATGACACATTTGAGTACGCTGAGCTGAGATTACGGGAAGGAGAGTTGTCCACAGACGATAGGATGGAGTTGGCCGACATGATGGTGGCCGGGGTTGCTGGTCTAGGTTTGGATTCTCGCCGACATCATGATATGACGGTACCGGTGCAGCCACAGTCATCTGATCCTAGCGTTGACCCATGGCCAGATCGTACTGCTCAGAGACATGAGTGGGACGTGCGAGGCCCACAGCTCACAGAGGAGCCCAGGAGGCGTAGACAGCGACGTGAGCACCGCGACGTGCCTCACCCAGTCCGGATTTCAGATCGTCAGCGAGCACGTCCTGTCCGGCCTACTACTACCTTCGACTCCATAACAAGCCAACACTGTTTCCAGCTTATAGATGTCATTTACAAACCTATACGGGTTAGCCCCCATTCGGTTGCAAGCTGCAATGGCATTTTATTTCCTTGGAATTTCCCACAAGTGCAAAATCCCGCTCCATTGGGTTCATCGAAATGCACTGTGAGTGTGTTCGAACCCGTCATGTTGAAATTGTTGGGAGGAGTCTGTACTACATAGATGCCCTGACGTCGATCAACCCCTGTCACGGAATGTCCCACTGCCTTTTGTGACCATGTATTCATCTTCTCTTCACACTTGATGGTGTACTGTGAAGGTCCACTTCTGATTTGTGCTTCTGTCTCCAACCTCATCTTATCGAATTTCTCCAATAATCGTCAATAAGTATGTTGCACAAGAGAAGCTATAGGAAGTGAACGAATACCTTTGAAAACACCATTGATGCTCTCTGCCATGTTGGTCGTCATCATAGACCATCGAGTCCCACCACTATAGTTATCATGTGCTAAGCTCCAACGAATTTGATTTTGATCCACCCAGTTATCACAAGAAATATTTCTTTCAGTGGCCATCTTCTTAAATTGCTCAACTTGACGATCGAACTTCTCCAAGCGTTTTTCTCGGGCTAACAAAATAAATAACCACAAGAGTTAGATAAATTCATGATAATATTAAATTAAAATAAATAATATGTTGGAGTGTCAATCAATAACGATGAAGAGACTTACCGACTCGAACCAATTGGTTATACATAATTTTGCTTTTTGTCTTCTTTTTCAAGTTGCTTGCATAGTGTCGCATGCACCACCTCCACTCCCAACTTCTTCCGATGTCACCCATGACTTCATATAGTCCCACATGTCTATCCGAGATGATGCATACGTCATTTCGATCGGTCAAACCTTGAACGCAATTTATAAACCATGGCCAACTTTCAGTATTCTCGCTCTCCATAATGGCAAATGCTATTGGAAAAATCTTCTTTCGGCCATCAAATGAGCTCGCCATGAGTAGCACTCCTTTATACTTTCCAGTAAGAAAGGTTCCATAAAAAACCATGACTCCTGGGCAATTCTTGAATCCATCTATACAAGGTCCATAAGCCCAGAATACTCGCTGAAAGATCGAATGACCTGGTTGAGCTGAAGGAACTCTTACCCAATCAATAACTGATGTTGGCATTTTTCTCTTTACCACCCGCAAGAATGTTTGCAAATAATCATAGGATTCTTCCCAATTTCCATGCAACTTCTCCAATGCTCTTTGTTTCCCATACCAAGCATTCTTATAAGTAACTTGCATATTAAATATATCTTTCATCTCGGCTTGCACAGCTAGAACACTCAGATTAGGTTGGGCACGTACCAAATGTTTCACGGACTCAGATATAATGTCGACATCAAGATGACGATGATCTGTCGGTTGAGTCGTATTGCTACAAGAATGCACCAACTCGGCCTTCCTCACAGTCCATTCGCTTCCAACGTCTCGACATCCAAACCGCACCATCCAAGGACAATTTTCATCCTTATGCTTCAAGCATCTAACCTTCCAGATTGAAGGTGACGACTCCACCACGCCATACTGAAAGTTGCGTTGTAGTGCGTGGTGTTTAACCGCCACCTATGCAGCTTGTTTCGAGTGAAATATCTGGCCTTTGTAGAATTCCCCTTCAAAACTAGTAATGGTAGGCATTGGAATTACCCCATATGAATCAACATATGATAATTCATCATCTTCTTCAGCAGCCTGCAAGTAAAAATATGGAGGAAAGTTAGGCTGCTCTTCTTCCCCATCTTCCTCCTCCTCTTCCTCCTCCTCCTCGTCGTCCTCATAATCATGGTCAGATGGCACACTCCATGTATCATCTTCACCCTGATCAGCCTGACTAATCTCAGCATGTACCTCAACACCCAAACAATAAGGATTTTGTGCCATAAAATCGAAAAGCACATTCAAACCATCATCATCCACAATAGGCATCGCATAATGAAATAGAACACCATTCTGCCATTCTGGAAGACGGTAAGTGAAACCTGTGATCATATCACTATCTTGTACTGTTCGTCTCTACGCCGTATTCTCGGGATTAGATTCTCACAAAATTGATGATATGTCACCCGACATGGAACTGTCAACTGAAACCTTCTACCACCAACGAAATGAACGCCGGAATTGTCGTCTACTTTCTCCGATTTCCACCAAACAATTAGTTCAAATTTCCTAAAATCACTACATAACAAACAAATACACTAATTATTAACTAAAAAAATTATAATAGCATTTTAATAATATAATTACAAAAAATAAATGTCTCTTACCTAGCCATCTTTTGCAGCAACCAGCAGAGCTCCTCCCTCTCGTTTTTGTATAAGTTTTTGGAGTGGTGATACTGAAAGGAGGAGAATGGAGGAGAAAATATATGTTGGAGTGGGTAAAAAACTGTGGGTCGAATCCGCATGAGATTGATGCGGGTACGCCAACTCCATGCGTTTCCGCAGCAGTCCCACGCGAGCCGCATCAGTCCCCCGCGGGTCCGCACAGATCCAATTTGGATCCGCATTTCATAATATTAAAATTGAGTCTCCTGCGAGCCCGCATCTCTTTCCCCAAAAAACACAATATCTGTGTAAATAAATTTAAAACCACCATATTGATGGTAAATTAAAAAAAATATATATTTTGGGAATTAACCCTCATAAGAGTAGATGTGTCAATAATTCACTTTTTATAATCATTAGTAACCTCACCAACCGTACATGATGGGAGACATCAGACATATAAATTTTCTTCCAATTAATATTAACAGGCTATATCTCCTTTAATTTAATTCGTAATTCAAAATTTTGCACGTAAAAAACATATTAATTATGTTTTTCAAAATGACATCATTTTCAGTGGAGGAGGAAGGTAGTGATGAGAAAGATCTTAGGACCCCACTTGGCAAAAAATGGGGCAAAAAACCCCTTTAAATAGATAGTGTTTTATATGATTTTCAAGTTTAGGACCCCATATTCATGTCGATATTAGCTCACGTAAGGACTCTAATAAATTGAAATTCATTAGATACACAATGTTTAGTGTTATGAAATTTTTAAGGACCCCAGTAAACTTAAAGTCTGGCTACGCCACTGTCTATATTTTTTATGGAAAAAAAATAGACATATATTGGGAGTCTATACCATGTTGGTAATGTTTGATAGTACATAAGATTATACCATGATGGTATAGAAGCGTATTATATTGGTATGAACATATTATAGAGTACAATGATTATTGTATACATGATAGTAGAAATAACTAATGGTCATTTACCACTTTTAATAACAGTCTACCATAGTATAATGTGCCATTTTTTTTACTAATAAGGTGACATATTTGGTCACTTGATCCCCTCCCCCAAGTGTGTAGATGACAATAGAATGGAGCACAATGAACTCATTCCTACTGTGCAAAATATTTTAAAATCTTAGTTAAAAACAAAAATTACAACAGAGTGGTAACAAGTGGTACAAAATTTTGTTTCATACAATATAAAATTATCAAACTTAGGAATTGTTCGTAATATGTTACATTTGCAACCAATCTAGAAATTCGATAAAAAAAAACTCCGATGAGTAATTTTGTGGGAATTGTACAATAATATTAGGAAGACAACATATAGGTAATAATCAATCTACACTCTTCCGTGATTCTCAACTTCAAATTCATTCATTAGAGAAAAAACGGGTTACTCATCAAACATATATTCTTTCTTTTACAAAATAGTGAATCTCATTTGTGATCGTTTAACACATTCATGATCCAACTATGCATTATGGATAAAATCGCTAAATCTAACTTTGTGGTTTAGACCACAAAATTTTTTTTTTTTTTTTTGGAATGCTTGCTCAAAAACTATTTCAAGTGAGATGACCTCAACCTCCATATCTCTCATCAATTTAGGCAACAAAATTGAGTACATAGTGTTGAAGATATTTTACTAGCGGAAAAGTTATATAAGATAGTTGGAAATATTCTACTAATAATTTTTTATTTCAATAAAATGCCAAAAAAAAAGAGTATGCTAATGATGGAGGTAGTGGATCTTATGAGAGAGAATCTTGGCAATTTAAAGAAAATTGATGAAAAATTCAAATTGATATAATACATGATTATAGTGTTGTAAAGATGCTTGATGGCGGCAGACGCTACCAACAGCCAAAAAGTAGTTGCATCATCCTCTTTTATGAGAACTCATACTTACTGCTTATTTGGCACCAAGATATCCATCAAAGCTTCCAAGTAAAGTTCAACTAAGTCTTTGAAGACGATCAATGCAGCGGTTAGAACAACATAGATGATGGTGTTGGGTGTTAGAGAGGTTTGAGATAATTGATTAGGTAAAAATTTCAGTAACGGAGATGAAAGACACTGTTATTAGTGGATATGAAGGTGTTTTTGTTGGCGAAATAATCTCAAAGAAATCCAAACATTTTACAGTAATTATAATATCGAAAGTAAATCGAAGTTTAGTTTGCTAAAGTTTTTAGACATCAGTTCTCATGCATATATTTTTTTAACTTTTGTTAAGGACTTTCATTGATGAACCAAAGCATGATAATTAAATATTTTATATTTTTTTATGATACCAAATAAAACTATATCATGCTTGCACAATAATGTTATTGTTTATGTCATTGATCAAATGAATCCGACCATCGGTCGGGCCCAAATCTAGTATATAAGAAGGGCTCTTGCTGGTCTTATTTCTTTTATTTTTATAATGTTCTTCGGATATAGGTCAAATAATATAAAAAATAAAAATGATCCATATGAACGTGTTACTAAACCCAATCATAATCACATTAGTATAAGTCATCATAAGTCCTTGTTCCTCTAATCGATATATGATTAGAGAGTGGGTTAACACTTTTATATGGATGACAAACTTGAGGGAAGAGAGTGAGTTTATATGATAGTTTTATTATTAATTTGAGTTAGCACCTTGATATGGATGAACAACGTGAGGGAAATGCACGAAATGAATGTCATGTTAGTTGCCTTTAAAATTGTTAGGTTAATGTTGCTAAGATTAAGCTAGGACATTATATTTTGGTCACTCAATCAAATCATCTCGTAAGGATCTCTAAAAGAATAATATTTATAGCTAGTTATTCAATGAAACTAGGGATTGATTGAATCTCTTTTGAGGTGAAAAGCTACTTTGATTTAGCATCAATAATGTCTGCTGCCATTAGGCATCAAAATGGCCCTAAGGCAGCCTGGGAAATTACAATCAATGATTTTGCAACAAGAAGTAAACAGAGAAACAAAGCAAGGCATACTGCAAATAAACTGCAGGTGAACGCCACCATGGTCTAGACTTCTAAACTTTCTGCTCTGAAGTCTCTGACTTAGCTTTACTGGCCGGCCCTTTCTTCTTGGAACTCGTCTTGCTCAACTCCGAGACTGTGAATGAGTCCTTGACTAAGTCGGCTATCGAGATTTCCAAATCGTGAGCAAGTTTCGGCACAATCTCTGACAGTGCATTCACATCTGTCATGGCTCTATGTGGTTTTCCCACCAACTCGATCTTGTACTTGTGTACCAGAGCTCCCAGTGATGCTGATTTGAAGAGTTTGCGCGCCAGACGGAGACTATCATAGAAGAACCAATCAGCAGGAATCTGGAAATTGCACCGCTCGAACTCACACTTGAGGAATGGCACGTCGAAACTACGACCATTATGAGCTACTAGCAGTACATGGCCATCTTGCTTTCGACGACTTTCTATGTACTGTACCATAATCGGTATCAGCTCTTCCATCCTGCAGTTGACATATATTGTTGTCATAACTTCAAAAGGGTTTAATGCTAAGTGCTGAACTACTTATATAAGGGACAATGAGAAACAATTGGACAATGAAGAGAAACTTCCATCCACAAGCAGCTAGTAGTTCAAGGACAAGGAGGCATTTTCAGAGAGACGTACCTAGGAACACCATCTTTCATGACCATGTCATCGTTAATCCCATGAAATTTCGAGTTACAGATTCGACGTTCAGGATAGACAAGGGTCTCGAACGTGCTGTTCTCGCCACCTCCCAAATCACGAAATGCAATCTCGACAATCCGGTTAAACTGCCCTTTAAACCCGGTAGTCTCGATATCAAACACAATGACCGTCAAGAGCTTGTGCAGGTCTTTCCTCTCAGCAAGCTGCTGCTGTCTTGTGTCATTCAATGTCGTAGCACTTCTAGTCCATCTTCTACTGTACCATCCTTCAAGTTCATTCGGTTTGGGACTAATCACATTAAACCTCCAATGGCTTCCATGTGTCTTACCTGTTCTGTGCAAGCTATCCTGCCAAAGACTGCTCAAGGCATGGATTCCATGCCGAGGGTCTCGTAGTAAAGAGAAGCACATCGGAAATGCCCTCATCCACATCGTTGATTTAGGATTCCAAGAGCCCGAAATCCTTTGCATCATTTCACTTAGAAACTAGACCTGCAAATGAACAAAAGATACAATGTTGATTAGAGACCTTCGACAAACACTTCCAAACTTTCCAGAATCAAGCTTCATCAAGAAAGCGCAGTTACATTCTTAACTAACTCCAGCCCAATCCAAGATGGAACGGTCCATTGGTTTATCCATTACCCAAGATTTAGGAAAGCAGAAAACCGTAGATACCAGAAAAGAAACAAGAACTTGCTGCAATCACTCCAAATGATGAACAATGTGACGGGACAACAATCAATGCATCAACTCAAAAGGTTCTAAAGCCGAAACTTGGCCCAAAGGCAAATATGAAGCAATGCTCAATTCTTTAAAGCCAACTTTCTATAATCATATATAAAAAGCGAAACCCTCAAACTAGACACAAGAAGATTGGAACTTTCTGTTCATCCCACTTCACCCACAACCGCCATTTCCATCGATGGGCCCAGGGAACCCCAAAAGAAAGAATTTCAACGTTACTTTTCCTGAGGAACCAAACCGAGAGGAAAGAGAGCGAGCGGGTGTGTAATCAAGCTTGCCTGGTGAGTGTTGATTGGGGGAAGAAGCGGCCATTTGGGTTTTGGGGGAGCTCAATGGAAGTGGAGGAAGGAGCGGAAGAATGAAAGGAGAAGTTGACGAAGAGGGAATTGAAGGGAGACTGGAAGGTTTTGAATGTGGGGAAGGAAGGAGCAAAGAATGGGGAAAAAGAGCGGTTGTTTTTTGCGTGTGTAATGTGTTAATAGCAGAGCAGTTTGAGAGCTCTCTCATCGTACGGGCCAACGTGAGCTCCGGTCCCGGCGGGCTCGGATCCACCTTCCCCCTCTCTATCCAAATTTCTTTTTTCGTCCACGTCTCCATCCAAATTTAATTTTTTTTTATGGTTAAATTTGATTTTTTTATGGTTAAATTTTAAATTGCAACAAACTAACAAAGCTATTTTTTCTTTCTTTTACCCGTTGTTATAAGAACCGAACCGGATCAACGGCCGGGCTTGTAGAACTGTCAAACTAGTTACGATAGCGGTCCGGTTCATTGTTTGAACGATTATTGATAGACCAAACGAGTTTTCACGGTTCAACATAAAATCAGATGAACCGACACGGTTTAATTGGTCCACTGGTTCACTATTTTAACAAAAAAAAATATTTTAACATAAACTAAGACCATCAAATTATAATTATTAATTTTATATATGCTTCCTCAACCTTACTGTCGATTTTACATTGTCTACTACCAACTAGAACCGTAATTTTTAATTTGAATTAAAAAAGGTGGTTTCTTTTGTGAGATGGTTGGAATGATTTATTAGATATTTTCGTGATGATATGAATTTGAATTTGTTTATGGTCAATGATAATTTCATTCTTAAATTAGTGTAATATACAAGTCTTATATGTTATATATCATTAACGGTTCACCAACAGTTTTGTAACGATTAACTAGTGAACCCTAAACCACTAACTTTTCCGGTTCAACCTCCGATCCAGTTCTGAAAACAGAGCTTTTACCGCAATAAAGTTGTCATATCCGTTGATCGAAATAGTTGGTGTTTGATCCGTTGATTAGAATGTCATTTGGAAAAATTGTATCACAAAGTTTATCCTAATTTTTTAAATTATTTGAAATGATCAAATTTCATATGATATTAAGGTGACCTTTGCAAGTCAAAGTACAAAAAATAAAGAAAGAAAAAGGGTCGGACCATCCAACGATATGGACTTTTTTGTCATGATATGGGCAGCTCTAATATACCTATGCATTGACCAAAATCTATGTTTATACTTCAACCCTTCATTGGCCAAAGTACAAGACATTTTGCCCATTCATTACTTGTCTATTTAATTATATAGTTAATTAGTTGTTTGTTGTTGAAATGAAAACTGACATAACAAAAAAATTAATTAAATAAAAAAACATAGCATAAATATCTAAATAGAAAAAACATAACTACGACATTTTATCCAATATTTATTTATCTTTAGCTGAGGCACAATACAAAAGCGAAAGAATCATAATTCTTGAGCAACTATCTAAAGTTCATGAAACAACCAACTGAAATTCTTTTTTGACAACTAACAACCAACTGAATTGACTATATTGTCAAAAAAAAACAACTGAATTGACTACACATAATCGTTGAATGCTTTAGGTTTTGTATTTTGGAGTCGGTTTTAATTAGCGCGCAAGACAACAGAAGGTGATATAAATGAAGATGAAATTAAACAATCAATTAGGAAAGGATACACAATGTATAACAATACATAAATTTTTTCAAGTTGTAATACTTAATAGAAAGTTTAAAAGAAAGACAGAAATTTGTACAATCAATTATTGTATTCACGATATTCAAAAAATAAGCCTTTGAGACAATCAATTGTTTTGTTAACCGAGTTCAACATATTGTTTTATGGTAGGCTCAAAAGTGTCGTGCCCTTTGAGACCTAGTTTCCTAGGTTTTTATCTAATTAGTGAATCCAACTCCCACTTGAGTTTTTTGGGTGGAACTAAAACCGTTGACAGGACGAAAGTATATTACACTTGTTGGGTAAGTAGAGAAGGGCCATGTAGAAGAAGGGCTTAGAAGCTGGGCCTTGGCCCAAGCCCAACAAAGGAACTAGGGCCTGCAAGAATGAAGGTGAAGCCCATGGAAGGGTAATTGGGCGCATGAAGACAAAACTAGAGCGGGGACCAGGCATCTCCAACGGTTGGAGACTGGGAGTGCGCCAGCTGGCAGGTGGTCCCTGTAGGCGCCCAGACTAGGGAGCCCAGGAGCCGCCACGTGGAAGCGCCCGACCGTTGGGCCGTACGGGGCATTTAATAGTGTGCTGACGTGGGGCTGAATTCCAGGAGCCTGGTCGATACCCCGCCTAGTATAAATAGTGCACGGTAGGTAGCATTTACTCAGGTTGGCTTCTCTCACTAAAAACTTCTCTCGGCACTTATCTCTCTAGATTGGGGACTGACTTGAGCGTTGGAGTGCTAACGGGCTTCTCCGAGCCCATTAGGCGCTTGTGGTGCAGGATCTAGGCGCCTCGAAGAGGTCCGCAGGAGGGAATCTCGGCGAGGTAGGGCGAGCGGTTACGTGGCACAAACAATTGGCGCGCCAGGAAGGGGCGCATGGAGGACATGAATGTAGGCGTCGAGGGAGAGGATGATTCGAGGTCAAGGAACTCAGGCCAGGAGGAAGGCGGGCGCCAACGGAGTCAAGAGTTGAGCATGGACGTGGAAGGTCAAGGAAGCCCTAGGCGCCTGTCGACTGAAGAAGGGGAGTCCTTGACGAAGAGGGAACTGTTCCGGATCATAGCGGATCAAGATCGGGCCATAGCGGCACTCAGGAGGGAGTTGGAAGGTGATCGGAGTGAGGATGTATTGATGTACAGCCCCGGAGCGAGGAAGCGAGAGAGAGCGGGGGAAGATTCGGAGTCTCTGCAGTTCGGATTACCACATCCCATTAATCAGGGCCCCGATACGCCCTGGCGCCCCAGAACCTGGCAGCCACCCGCTGAACATGCCCAGGATGACGCATGGGCGCCCCCAAGGATGGCCAAACGGTTTGGAGTTCGACAGCCCCTGGCGCGAAGCGTCCTTTTGGAGCCCGCCGGACCCACGATTCCCCCGTTACCTAGCTACGATGGAGTTGCTGACCCAGAAGATCATCTGAACAGCTACTTCACGAAGATGCAACTTTACAACAGCTCCGACGCCACCTTGTGCAAGGTGTTCCCGTCCACCTTCGCGGGCGTTGTATTGGACTGGTATCATCAAATTGAGGAGGGGCGCATAGAGTGCTTCGAGCAGTTTGCGGAGCTGTTCCTATCCAAGTTTGCGAGTCGGAAGCGCCGAACACTGACCATAGGCGCCCTGTTCAAAGTGAAGCAGAGAGAAGGCGAGGCGCTCAGGGAATTTTACGACCGTTGGATTTCGGTGGCAATGGCGGTTAAGGACGTACAGCCGGCGGTATTGGGGGTTTGCTTGGACGCGTGTACCTCGAGTGAAGAGCTCTGTCGAGTCCTTTCCAAGCGAGATGTGGTCTCCACGGAGGACTTAGATAGGAGAGTGCAGAAAGTGATCATGTTGGAAGAGACCTTGGCAGCGCGAAGGGCGGAGAAGAGGCGCTTGAGGGGTGATGAAATGGAGGTGAGGCAGGCGCCACGGTCTGTGTCTGGAAATTTTGGCCCACCAAGGAGGCCAGAGGCGCCCCGCCTCCTGCCTAGGAGTGCCAATAATTTTACAGAGTACAATGACACGCTCAAAAACGTCCTACAATATGTGAAAGATAGGGGCTATCACATTCGCTGGCCAGGGCCCATGCGGGGCCAACCAAATGAGAAAAACCTTGACAGGTACTGCGACTTTCATCGTGACAAGGGGCACTATACAGCAGATTGCTACCAGCTTAAGGCTGAGCTTCAAACGTTGGCCGACAAGGGCATGCTCAACGACTTCGTGAGAAGGTTGGAAGACAAGAACCATCGGGCGTACGTGACGCGGGCGGCGCCTGAGATCCCAATGGCCCGAAAGGCGTCTGAGATACCCGTAGTCCAGGGGGCGCCTGATACCCTGAGGATCCAAAGAACGCCCGGAGAGACTAAGCTCCAACGGGCGCCAGAGCCTGAGATACCCCCACCTCCGTTCGAAGTGGACCAAGAAGGGGAACCTAGCCGCGTCCGGCTCACGGTCGAGTCCATAACCGGTACCCTTGACTTGAGGGATAAGTTAGAGAGGTCAAGGCGCTTGAGGTCCGCCTCGTTGGAGGCAAGGGCGGCTGTGCACATCCACTTCAATCAAGACCCGGAGGAGGCATGCCAGGTCCCATCGGAAGAGGCTTTGGAAAAAATTCAGGGTGTGATAGCGGGATGTAAGGTGAAGAGAATGTTGGTGGATACGGGTAGTTCGATGGATGTGCTCTTTAAAAGCACGTTTGAGCGCATGCAATTGGCGCCTGAGTTGGTGCGACCCGCGAGTTCCATATTGGTCGGATTTTCGGGAGCACCCGCCCAGGTCATTGGGCGCGTGCGCCTACCTGTGACTTTGGGAGATGAGGTGCATTGTGTGACACACGCAGTGGAGTTCGGGATTGTAGATTGTCCGTCGCCATATAATGTGATACTTGGCCGCCCATTATTGGCACAATTCAATGGAGTGGCGTCTACTTGTCATCAAACCTTGAAATTTGTTGCGCCGCAGGGAATAGGCATC